ATTCGATGGCTGCAGTATGGGAAACAGTGAAGGAAACATGGACAATTCAGCTTTTTTAACATGTAGGTAGAAAGAGGAGCAGGATTTCAGAGCGCTCGACAATCAAGGTCCAAAAAGAAATGTCTTTACTAGTTTGCAAGATATATGAGGGGAGAAGAACTTTCAGCTTATGAGACTCAATGATTGACAAATGAAATTTGAAAGCTAGAAATTTCTGATTTATTTTTCTTGATGTGGTTGAGAAGCACGCAGGGCCATTGTAGCCATTTAATCGGAAAAGGTTTTGAAGAAATTTTCGAAACATTTGCTTAACGAATTTATGATGAGTAAAGGGAAGTATCTTGAGTGGCACATGCTGACATCAATTGCTGGTTGATAATTTGGTAGACATTGACTTTTGAACTGGGACATTTTTGGATGAAGAGGACTTCCAATAACCCAATGCAAGTTGCGACAATTTTGAGGTCGAATAAAGAGAGTGAAGAGTAAAAAAAGTTTTGAACTCTGAAAAAGAAAGGATGCATTTGCAAAATGGTTGAAGCAATTCTGTGTTATTTAGTCTGGGAAATCATGACCAATGGTGCTACTCCCTATGAGGGACTTCCAAATGCTAAGGTGAAGGAGATGATGCTTCAAGGCCAGCACAACAAATTTCCGGAGGACACGGATCCGCAGGGTTTGTCTTGTCCCTATAGTGCTACAAATTCTTCGCAAATGTTATTTTTAGTGGTTGGACTAGTGCACAGCTGTTGGTTAAAAGATCCAGCATTCAGATGTACGATGGGGGAGGTGCGGTCATATGATATTGGCGCTCAAAATCTGTCTTTAGTATTCTCAAATCTGGGAATTTCTTGAATGAAAATTGATATGGAAGCCTCAATTAAGCCATTTCTCAAGCGGTAGTTAATATGTCATAATTCAAACTCTCTTCCAATATCACATCTGAGCCGTCTAACAAAGCGTCTTCCATTACGCTATTGGACGAGGTTCAGATGAACCTCAACAAAGAGAGGGGTTAACTGGGCTGCAGCTTGAGTGATGGCCTAGTTAGAGCCTCTATTCAAATCGACAACAGTGCAGAGCTCCGAATTTGCCAGAACACTTCCAAGAACTCTAGAAAAATTTTTCGAGACAGCACACTCATACTTCTTTGTTATCTACAAGATTTTGCGGTGCTATTCAGACACATTTATGACTTTTTCAGGTAGCAAAATACATGGCAAATTTGACAGGCATTCCTCAACCACCGATGAGCACCTATGCATCGAAGGAGTTGACGCCAAAGTCGCCTGCAAGGTCTAGGTCTTCATCTCGGTCCAGACTAATCAGTAAACGTACCATACAGAGCCGCACTTGTATTCAAAGTCGTAGATCGAAATAAATGTTCGCAAATGCTTTTTTTTGGAAAACGTTGCCGAATATCATGTCCACTACTTAGCAAATTATTGACCCATAGCCACTACAGCAGTCCCACTTCCCACAGTATGATTCAGTTCCTATTAGGCGGAAATTGACATGGCGGG